CAATTAGTTCATCTGGGTCTTTACTCTGATGAATATGTCATCTACATAACGGCAGTATACCATTAGTTTTTGCCTACTACTAAAGACTCTATCTTCGATGGTTCCCATGTAAAAATTAGCGAATAACACTCTTAAGGGGAACCCATTGCAACTCCGTCTATTTGTAGATACATGTTACCTTGCAGACTGATGAAAGGAGTTAACTTGGTACATGCCTCGTGAAGGCTCTTCAAGTGTAGCTCGGGTATGTCTAATTTGGAGGTGCTCTCATCTCTGTATACTCTGTCCAGTATCATTTCTATGGTGGTGTGGACCAGGACATTGGTGAATAGGGTATACACCAACGTGTATACAACTGGTATAAATCTAACGTGCTTGTATTTTCTTATCATTTGAGAATGAACCATGTAGGTTCAAAACATTGTGTACTTTTTATAAGAAGTGTAATACATTCTACAGTTATTTATTTCTTTTTCTTCACCTCGAACGAAGATGACCTTTGGAAAATTCCTCTTCCAATTAAACCAAAATGCTAGAACACTAGTCAGAGGGATAGAAGCCCTAAACAAGAAAATAATCAATAGAGAATATGCAGTCATATTCAATGAAACATGTATAAATGAAAACCCGCTGCCAGTATACACTATTATATACGTATCTACATGTTTTATTCACCATAACTATACAACTAAGTTGGTATGGTGTTCAAACAGCATAGTGGCCACCACACAGCGTGACGTCACACAACAGTCAGCAGATGATGTAGGAGATGACGCTACCTCCCTCATCAAAATGGTTCCTCCCAACATATTCCTTTTGCTGTTATTACACTCTATACACACGTTATATATAAGTACAGTGTGTCCTCACTTGAACGAACTATATGGGGCGAAGCCGATTCGTTCCAGTGCGGAATTCGTTCCATCCGTCCGGCCCCAACAACCTTCTTATTTTTATTTTTTTTAAACATATGCCAGGACACATTAGTTTGTTTCTTTGTTGTGTGGTGCTTCATTATAATATCTTTCATGCTCTTTTGGTGTCAATAATAATCTGAGATGCGAGAATCACCATCCCCCACCCCACTCACACCATCTTCCACACCACCCACACCATCCTCCACACCACCCACACCATCCTCCACACCACCCACACCATCCTCCACACCACCCTCACCATCCTCCACACCACCCACATCATCCTCCACACCACCCACACCATCCTCCACACCACCCACACCATCCTCCACACCACCCACACCACCCATACCATCCCCCACACCACCCACACCATCCCCACACCATCCTCCACACCACCCACACCATCCCCTACACCACCCACACCATCCCCCACACCATCCCCCACACCACCCACACCATCCCCCACACCACCCATACCATCCCCCACACCACCCACACCATCCCCCACACCACCCATACCATCCCCCACACCACCCACACCATCCCCCACACCACCCACACCACCCACACCACCCACACCATCCCCCACACCACCCACACCATCCTCCACACCACCCACACCATCCTCCACACCACCCACACCATCCTCCACACCACCCACACCATCCTCCACACCACCCACACCATCCTCCACACCACCCACACCATCCCCCACACCATCCCCCACGCCACCCACACCATCCCCCACACCACCCACACCATCCCCCACACCACCCTCCACACCACCCACACCACCCACACCATCCCCCACACCACCCTCCACACCACCCACACCACCCACACCATCCTCCCCCACACCACCCACACCACTAACACCATTCGCCCCCACCACCCACACTCCCCACACCACCACCCACACACCCCACACCATCACCCACACCATCCCCCACACACCCCACACCACCCACATCATCCCCCACACCATCCACACACCACCACCCACACCACCCACATCATCCCCCACACCATCCACACCATCCCCCACACCACCCACACCATCCCCCACACCACCCACACCATCCCCCACGCCCCCACACCCTCCCCAACACCACTAACACCATTCGCCCCCACCACCCACACACCCCACACCATCACCCACATCATCCCCCACACACCCCACACCACCCACATCATCCCCCCACACCCAACCACACCACCCACACCAACCCACCCACACCCAAACCACACCACACCACCCAAACCATACCACACCACCCACACCGTGTATTGAAGCAGCAGGCTTGGAAGCGTCTCAACTCGCCCGACAAAAAAAATGATGGGTTGACAGGTCTCCTCTCACACCTCCAGGACCCCCCCCACCCCCACCCCCCAGGTACCCGGCCATACACACCACAATGCCAAGTCAGCTATTGTTTTCTTCAGGAAACAATAAAACGTGTTAATGATTAATAATGTATATTAATACACGAAAATTAACATATTTTGGCATAAATATTTTACAGCTAAGATTGAGATTTATAATAGAGTATGAATGAGAGGTTTGGCAACCATGCGTGGTCACCACCCTTCTCTCTCCACTTCCACCTCCCCTGACAACACCTTCCACCACTGACCCCACCTGCCTCTTTCCACCACCTGCCTCCCCTGACCCCACCAGCCTCCCCAGACCCCACCTGCCTACCCTGACCCCACCTGCCTCCCCTGACACCACCTGCCTCCCCTGACCCCACCTGCCTCCCCTGACCCCACCTGCCTACCCTGACCCCACCTGCCTCCCCTGACCCCACCTGCCTCCCCTGACACCACCTGCCTCTTTCCACCACCTGCCTCCCCTGACACCGCCTGCCTCTTTCCACCACCTGCCTCCCCTGACACCGCCTGCCTCCCCTGACACCACCTGCCTCCCCTGACACCACCTGCCTCCCCTGACACCACCTGCCTCCCCTGACACCACCTGCCTCCCCTGACACCGCCTGCCTCCCCTGACACCGCCTGCCTCCCCTGACACCACCTGCCTCCCCTGACACCACCTGCCTCCCCTGACACCGCCTGCCTCCCCTGACACCACCACAAATGATGCCAGCCACCTCACCAAGGCCCAACGTTCACACGACCTGTGCTTGTTTTATTGGCCTCCTCAAAATTTATTCTAAATAGATATTAGTACAGTACGTAGGCTGTTAGAGGAGGGAGGGAGGGATCCAGGAAACAACCCCCCCCCTCCCACCCCTCACCCCCCCAATGGCTCAGGGAGCGACCGGCCGGCCACACAATGCCGGCTGTTATCTACACCCCAATTGTATTAAAAATTCTGTGAAAAGGAAATGTGTTCAAACTGTTTAAAATATGTACTGTATATATTACAATTTTCACCATTATTATTGCTCCAATATGACATTTTTCTAATAAAAAGGCTATTTTCAGTGTAGATAATGCGATAATTATCATTAAATTGACTCTTGGCATCTGACGACGAGAGGAGAGTGAGGTAGTAGGTGGTCTCTGTGGTCAGGTGGAGGAAGGAGGGTGGGGGCGGGGGAGCACGTGTTGCCTCCTGACAACAACTCTCTCACCAATGCCTCCCTGACACCATTTTATCACCATTTTTATCACCATTTCTCCCTAGAAACAATGGGTAGGGATAATAAAACACTACATAACTGTTTACACTCTGGCGAATCATAGTTGATGACAGCCAGCTCTGACGCTCGGCCTCGGTGACCGCTTGGACGAACATTCCTCACTTAATCGAACATTTGTATGTTCCACTGAACATTTGGTACCGAATTCAATTTGTTCGGCTCTTCCGGGAATTCGATAGAGCGGGGTTCGTTAGTCTGAGGAAGCACTGTATCAACATTTGTGTTCATCATAATGAACCACTAAGTTGGTATGGTGAGTCCTAAAAACAAGAGTGGGCTGCCACACACAGCCAGCCCTCCCCTCACTCCTTCAACACCTAACTCACCAACATTGCTACTCCCACAATACTGTTTGTGATTTTATTATACTATACTGTATACACATGTTATATATAAATATTTACATGTTTTGTTCACCATAACCGTTCAACTAAGCTGGTATGGTGTCCAAACAACATAGTTGGAACAAAAAATTGCATGACAAGTCACATGGCAGCCAGCAGATGATGCTAGGAGACGACGCCAACACTCCCTCCCTACTCACTAAGAATACTCCTTCCACCAATCTTCGCACATCACTAATTCTCACCACAATCCTGCTATTATCAGAATCCTGGTCACTAAATCCTTTAAATGAATAATTTTCCACAAGTTTATTTTGTAAAGGAACATGAGAAGTTGTTTGAAGATTCTTAGGACGAAATAATGGCAGTGTACCGTCTCTAGCGCTGTGAACATCTTGAACAGTATTGATTCACTGATATCTGAACATTGTACACAGTTTTATCACAGTAAGGTTCTTCTGTACTACTATCATAGCTAAATAATACCAGTTACATATATATTTTGACATTTTTAGGCGATGCTGTGTTCACAAGCTGAACAGCAGTGCTGTTAGCTCATGCTGTGTGCACTAGCCTTGGTTGCTCACTGAGGTTCTCACTCCCAGGAATGTTGCCTACATTTTTTTTTAAATGGTGTCTGTTTATGAGAGCCCTGAGGAAGCTGATGTGAACCCTATGTAGCCACAGGAGTTTTGAATGCTACACTATACTGTACCTACGAGTACCCTGAGGCACCTTGTGCACCACTGATCTAGCGCCTCAAGGCGCATTGTGCAGTGCAGTGGTTAACGATATGGGTATAGCCCATATACGTTGTTAAATTGAGTAGATATTGTACTAGCTTCAGGGAGTCACTTGGGCTTACCCAGAAATCGGTATTTCATTACTTTCAAACCTGGTTTTTCAGCATATATGCATTAATTTTCATGGATTGAGCTGTTCAAATAACTTTTCATTCAAAGTTATACATAAATAAATAGCAACTACTTCAAAATTAAATAAAACATTTTCCATACAAGCAAAATATATATATAGTATTCATAATTTGATGTTGCATGTAAATTTATTTGCAGGCTGGCTCAAATCTCTTCCTGAATTTTATAGTGATGGGAACGTTATACATTGGAGGTAATCTAATGTCCTACAATCAGATTAAACCTGGTGACCTCATGTCTTTTCTGGTGGCTTGTCAAACCATACAGCGGTCACTAGCTCAGCTTGGCATCCTTTTTGGCACTTATGTTCGTGGCATTAGTGCTGGTGCAAGGGTGTTTGAGGTAAGAGACATGTTTCTTTAACACTAGTCATAAATTTTCACTTTTCCAGGAGGAGCAGAACATTTATTTATCTAACAGTGACTGTATTTTGTGAAGTTTTGCAAAATTAATTAACTAGTTATATTTTGTAATTTCTTTGTGAGTTACTGATTGTATATTTTTCTGAGGGATTCCCCTTGTGGCTTCCTGAAGCTATCTCACTGAGATGGCTCGCAATTACCAGGTCACATCAGCTGTGGAGTTTGGCCTACTGGGGTCTAGAGCCAAAACCTAGCCCTCCCCTCACAGAGGCACAGAGAGTGGGTGACACTCCCCCACCCCACTGAGAATGCATTAATAAAGTTAGTGAACCAATACAGGCCTCTGCTGGGCTTGAAGAGACCAAAGCCTTGAAATAGCTAAATGAATTCCACAGACAATATAAACAAATGATCGAATCGAGACCGCAGCCTCAAGAACTATCAAAAGCTGCCCGAGTTGGTGTTCAGGGACCTGGATTTCGAGGTGTTAGGTAATTCAACCATACCTTGAGGTTACCTTGAGGTGCTTCCAGGGCTTAGTGTCCCTGCGGCCCGGTCGTCGACCAGGCCTCCTGGTTGCCGGACTGATCAACCAGGCTGTTGGACGCGGCTGCTTGCAGCCTGATGTATGAGTCAGCCTGGTTGATCAGGTATCCTTTGGAGGTGCTTATCCAGTTCTCTCTTGAACACTGTGAGGGGTCGGCCATGGTTCCCTCAACACCACCTCTTACTTCGGGTGTGGCTCGCTCTTCCTCTGATCTTTTCTTCCCTACTTCTGGCTGCAAAGCATTTGAGTGTTTTGGAGTTGGAGCAGGATATAGCTTAGTATGTGGCTTGGTCAGCTCTGGGGTTTGTCCCTCCTGATTCGGGGCATGGAAGCAGCTAAGCCTACTGGTCCCAACAAGGCTTCTGGGTGGGACATTTCAGCCAGTCCCCTCCTTTGAGGCCTCTCCATTGGACTCCAATCTCTATCCTGGGCAGTGGGAGTGGATAACAGTTGTTCCCTGGGGTCCTCTTCTGCAGTTGTGGGGGCTTGGGGGAGAGCTGAATATGAAAGCCATTGGGTTTCATTTGACACTTCGGGGTCCCTTGTGCCTTCTGTAGAGGGTCTGTTTTGCAGGGAGTGGGTTTTTTACATCCCCCTTTCCCAATGTGTGTGAATTCAATTTGGGTGTGGCTCTTCCTCCCTGGGTTCATTCCCCAGTGCCCTTGGACTCTTCGAATTTATTCTTCCAGAGGTTTTACTCCTCTAGAGTTCCTCTGGTGGCAGCTCATGAGGCTTTATTTGCATACCTTCTACATTACCCGGATAATGCCTCGCTAGTGGTTCCAGCCTCTTTTGAGTTTAGGTCTTCTCCTTATTAGTTGTGTATTGGGTGGCAGACAATCCTTTCTTTTTACTTGGGGCTTCTGTCATTTCCACTCACTTGAGTGGTGTGAGGCGTCAACTGTATAACAAAAATTTTTGAGCGGCGTGTGTTTTGAGCTTTCAATTTCAACACTCAGCTCAGTGCCACTGCAACAGGCTCCAGAAATCTGCAATTGCCTAAGTATTGGGAACAGATTTAGGGCTATAAGTGGTGTCTCAGGTTACATAAAGGTATAGAGAAGCTGAAAAGTAAATAAAATACAAGAAATAAGTGAAAATGAGTGAAAATTCTGTGTTGGAAAAGTATATATTTCAAAACAAAAGATTGTCAATAACAAAGATGCCCGCTACCAAGGAGAGTTAAGCACACCAGCAGAAGATTGTTTTAAAGGATTCTCAGTGCAAGATATAAGGAAAGGAGGATTTCTTGGCAGGTTAGAGATTATTGAGGACAGGCTAAAGAAGTATGAAGAAAAGGTCCTTAAATTAAAACAAGAAAATGAAGCTCTCAGGAATGAGTTTCACACTTTAACACTTAACCCTTAACCTTTAAACTGCGTAACACGTCATATGACGTGTTGAGTAACTTACCGAAAAAGTGCGCATCACGTCATATGACGTGTTGGAGTACTACGCAAGATTTAAACGGCCCGCGGATACACGGGGTTCACCAAACCTTCATTAGGGCTCTTGTAAACAGACACCATTTAAAAAAAATCGTGGGCCAAACTCCTGGGTGATAGGGGCCTCAGTATTGAGTGAGCTACCAAGCCTGACGCACGCAGCATGAGCTCACAGCACTGCTGTTCAGCTTGTGACCACAGCATCGCCTAAAAATGCCATAATAAACTTGTTCATGCTATTATGTAGCGATGATATTATTACAGAAGACCCCTGACTGTGATAAAACTGACCAGGGTTCTGATAATAGCAGGATTGTAGTGATATTTAGCGCTGTGCGCCATGGAGGGAGGAGTAATGCTGTGGCAGGGAGGGTGGTGGCGATGTCTTCTGACTGTGTGTGGCCACCTTTTATTGACTGCACTCACCATACCAGCTTAGCGGTTTGCTATGGTGAATACAAATGTAGATACTTATATATAACGTGTGTATAGAGGGTATAAACAGCAAGAGGAGTAGGTTGGGAGCCACCATTTTGGTGAGGGCGGTGGCATCGTCTGCACGACGCCACCGTGCAGACGACGGTGTTGTTTACTGGTTACCACGATGGTCTTTGGGCACCATACCAGTTTACTTGTACAAGTATGGTGAATAAAACAGGTAGATATTTATATATAATGTGTGTATATACCGTAATAACACCACAAACAGTATTGTTGGAGGAGAAATATTAGTGCGTCTGGCCTTGAGGGCGGCAGCCATCAGCTGACTGTGTGAGGTCCTACGTCTTTGTGTCTTTACTCACCATACAAGCTTAGATGTACAGTTATGGTGAACAAAACATGTAAATACTTATATATAGTGTCTGTATATAAAAGCAAAAACAGTATGGTGGGTGAAGAATGGTGGCAAGTCAGGTGAGGTGAGGGCGGGAGAGAGTGGCAGCCAGTGGCAGGCTGCCACTGCCTGCCACTGCCACTGCCACTCAGCATACCAACTTAGTGGTTCGTTATGGTGAACATGAATGCAGATACTTATATATAGCGTCTGTACATAGTGAATAAAAGCAAAAACAGTATTGTAGGAGGAGAATGTGGGTGAGTCAGATGACTTGAGGGAGGGAGTGAGTGGCTGGCTGGTACACGGCGGTCACTCCTCGTTACTTTTAGACTCATAATAGCAACTTAGTGGTTCGTTATGGTGAACAAAACATGCAGATACTTATATATAACCTGTGTATATAGTGTAATAACCGACAAAGTATTTGTTCACTGATTGATGAACATAATGGAATCAACAATATGCACACCATATTTTTGAGTACAGCGATGATTCACTCATTTTATTATATAAATATATCAAACTACACACAATTGAATAATATTACAGCAAAAAAACTATGAAAAATCAATCAGAGACATTGAAATAATTAGGTAATTATCTCTTTGTGGCAACTCCGGCCTGACAGCTGGCGATCAACAGACCGCCTCGGACACACGCTCAGTCAGCCCCTGTTTTTTGCCAGACTTCCCTGCCCTATAGTGGGCAATATATGCCACTTATGATTTTTTTATTATTTTTCCCACTGTTTTTGCTTTTATTCACTATATACAGACGCTATATATAAGTATCTACATTCGTGTTCACCATAACGAACCACTAAGTTGGTATGCTGAGTGGCAGGTGCAGTCGCAGCCAGTAGCAGCCCGCCACTGGCTGCCACTCCCTCCCTCCCTCACCTCACCTGACTTGCCACCATTCTCCACCCACCATACTGTTTTTGCTTTTATATACAGACGTTATATATAAGTATTTACATGTTTTGTTCACCATAACTGTACATCTAAGCTTGTATGGTGAGTAAAGGCACAAAGACATACGACCTCACACAGTCAGCTGATGGCTGCCGCCCTCAAGGCCAGACGCACTAATATTTCTCCTCCAACAATACTGTTTGTGGTGTTATTACGCTATATACACACAGTATATATAAATATCTACCTGTTTTAATAACCATACTTGTACAAGTAAACTGGTATGGTGCCCAAAGACCATTGTGGTAACCAGTAAACAACACCGTCGTCTACACGGTGGCGTTGTGCAGACGACGCCACCGCCCTCACCAAAATGGCGGCTCCCAACCTACTCTTGCTGTTTATACCCTCTATACACACGTTATATATAAGTATCTACATTTGTGTTCACCATAGCAAACCACTAAGCTGGTATGGTGAGTGCAGTCAATAAAAGGTGGCCACACACAGTCAGAAGACATCGCCACCACCCTCCCTATCACAGCATTACTCCTCACCTCCATGGCGCACAGCACTAAATATCACCCCAATCCTGGTATTATCAGAACCCTGGTCAGTTTCATCACAGTCAGGGGTCTTCTGTAATAATATCATCGCTACATAATAGCATGAACAAGTATATTATGCCATTTTTAGGCAATGCTGTGGTCACAAGCTGAATAGCAGTGCTGTTAGCTCATGCTGCGTGCGTCAGGCTTGGTAGCTCACTCAATACTGAGGCCCCTAACACCAGGGAGTTTGGCCCACGATTTTTTTTTTAAATGGCGTCTGTTTACAAGAGCCCTGATGAAGGTGTGGTGAACCCCGTGTATCCGCGGGCCGTTTAAATCTTGCGTAGTACTCCAACACGTCATATGACGTGATGCGCAGTTGACTGGAACAACTTCCAACACATCATATGACGTGATGCGCACTTTAAGGGTTAAAATGTTGGGAAAAACAAGTGTCTTTAACCCTTTAACTGCGCCGCCTCCAAATATGACACCCCTCTAGTGCGCAGGAAATAAATTCTCTTGAAAAAAATCTTTTGTTTTTTAAAGTTTCAAAAACCCTTCCCTCAGTATGGGTATGTCAAAAAAAATTTGAAATTGTACTTACTTTAGCTGCTATGGGGTCTGTAAGTTGGCGCGTGACATCATCATTCCCCATTCGCCCGTGACGTACGTTCCCGGGGCC